ATTAACAGTTATTTTGTGTTTCTTCCATTTGCGAATAATCGCACCAACTGTTGTCACCTTATTACCAAGCTGCTTGGCAATGGTCTTGTAGCCCATTCCAGCCTTGTGTAGGTCTACAATCTTGTCCCTGACATCCTTGGTCTTGGCCATGGTGGAGAGTTTGGAATCTGATTGATTGATTGCTTCTGTCGACAGGTGTCTTTTATACAGGTAACAAGCTGAGATTAGGAGCACTCCCTTTAAGAGTGTGCTCCTAATCTCAGCTCGTTACCTGTATAAAAAACACCTGGGAGCCAGAAATCTTTCTGTTTGAGAGGGGGTCAAATACTTATTTCCCTCATTAAAATGCAAATCAAGTTATAACATTTTTGACATGCGTTTTTCTGGATTTTTTTTGTTGTTATTCTGTCTCTCACTGTTCAAATAAACCTACCATTAAAATTATAGACTGATCATTTCTTTGTCAGTGGGCAAACGTACAAAATCAGCAGGGGATCAAATACTTTTTTTCCCTCTGTAAATGTTTCACTACATTTTCGGTAAATCATGAACATAGCGACTCTTGTGGGTTGTTTGGGGTTTTTTTGCAATAACAAGCGGAGCGCAACGGGATATTGGGGCTGGCGGCGCGGGGGGGTGGGGGAGTTATTTATTATTTAACCGGTTCTGTGACCACCCGGCCCAACCCATTGGTCATTAAGTTGCCAATGGGTCCATTAATGTTGTTGTTGCTTTAAGTCGCTCCTCTTTAGTGTTCTACGCCATGGCAGGTCCGTGCCCCTCTGACCCCCCCCCCCCAACGCCTGCTCATTTCTTGACTTGGGGTTTGACAAAATCTACTGCTGAGTGAGGGCCTCCCCACCCCGCTGGGGGTTTACTCAACCGTACTTCACGCTTCTACAGCGGTGGCTGCGACGGCTGCGACGGCAGAGAACAAAAATCCCACGCCTCCATATAACTAGCCCAACATCACCACCGTCATCACCACCACCTGACGACTTTTAATCCCACCACGCACCAATTTCAGATTTTTTTTAATGTTTAAGCAGCGGCCTCGTATCACTGAACTTAGAATCACGAACGTTGTACTTTACACACCGGACGCATCAGCGGTGTAATGGTTAGCACGCTGGACTTGTAATCCAGAGGTGGCCGGTTCGATTCGATCTCCCGACGCGGCATTTATTAAATACCCCCACCCCATCTTTGACCATCACCATTGATTTAAATGGGTACAGCACAGTTAATTGATCGGTCAGATCGCGTGTGGTGGGGTAAAGCGTGGGTACTCCAACCTCTTCCAAGACGGCTGGACCAAAATTGAAGGGGAGGCCAAAAGTATCCGCTAGATATAAAGGGGCTCTCTCTTCGTGCTCGCATTAGAGGAGGCCCTTCCAACAGAAGTGGCGTGAGCAAGCAATTTCAGGGTTGCAACTTTACCTTAGTTGCCTCGTACAACTGGCAGCGTTTTTGAGATTTACGCTGCGATAAGCCGTGTTATAGAACTATTGGAGGTCACGCATAACTCAAAACCGCCATGCCCAGCGGACGAATAACAATTCACGCAAGCACACAAAACCATTCCATTTCCCAAACTCGACGACTCGATGATTACTCGGGAGTTATGGCCACGGTTCTATGCAAGACACAAGCCTCTTATTCTTATCATTTTTCATCAGCATCTTCATCAGCCATGATCTATCCACCATTACAGTCCTGGGGAGTCAACGTACTGTCTCGCCCCCGCACGAGCTGATTTCACCGCGTGTGTGTGTGTGACCCTGGCGCAACGCATTTGTCAATAAAACTTTCCAATAACACTGCCCGAACAAATATTTACAAGATGGACGACATTTTGGGCAATTATTCTTATTCATGGCAGATAGAAGCATCGCCTGTGAAATGTTTCCCCTGAGGCCAAATTTTGGACAATGACCCTTTTTTTAAGCAGAGAGGAGGGCAATTCCCGGAAACTTCGTCTAAAAATAAATGTTCTTCCTTGAGGGCTGTGTTGTTTAAAAACGATGCTGTCGGGCTTTTGTTATTTGTGCTAATGCACTACAGCCAACGCAGTGTATCAATTTTGCTCGTGGCGAATTTACATTGAAACTCTAAATCTAACTCTAAGCTAATAATTCCAGGGGGGGGGGGGGGGCGTCGATGTCCTCTCACCGCTCCCCCTCTTGGATCCTCCGCTGCCTCAACTCTCAGCTTATAAACCTCGACTCGACCTCGGTGAGCGTGCATAATAACAGCGACTCGTCACGCCAGCCAGGAAGGCAGCTTGTCAAATCGCCATTATTCGTGAATCAGAGAGCCGTTGTGACGTCTTCAACGCCTCCATGTGCTCACAACGAATCGAGTTTTGATGTCGACTGCGCTTCCACCCTGTGCGTACACGCATACAGCCCCCCTTTTTATTATTACACGTTTTTATTTAACGCACTCTGTCTGTTGTTGTTGTTGTTGTCGTATCCTCAAATCTTGTAACTCAATTGTAACCCACTTCCCAATGTGGTATCGACTGAAAACTTCGTATACTTATGTCTTACTGATGGCAATACTATATTCTATCATCAAAAATAAAAATATATATATACTTTTAAACAATCTTTTTTTGTCAATGCAATGATCTCGGAAGCTAAGCCGAGTTGAGCCTGGATAGTCCTTGGATGGGCGACCCACCCACCATGCGTAAAACACGTCGGTATACGTTTCAAGCAGCAGATGGCAGTGCGGCGAGACCCACCGTTGTAATGCACTTCCATGCTCCCACGTCTATGTCCCGCGCTTTCACCAACCCGCATTGACACACGTGGTGTGAAGCATGGCCAAACAGCCCCCGCCACCCGCACGGTGTGGGGGAGGCCTTAATCCAGCAGTGGATCGGCAAAGTGGCTACACAAGTTCAGGTGTGTAAGTGTACGCACACCTGTCCAACGCGATAATGGCATTACACTGCAAGCCACACATTGATGGCAGTATGTGTACACACACCTGTGTGCGTACACACCTGTATTTATTATACGCACACCCGTGTAGACTATAAACACAGCACAATAATTTAATTGCCAAGCAGGTAGAGCAGCGAGGCTTGTGCCGTGGAGAATCGAGAGTAAAAACACACGGAGAGTATCTCACCCCTCAAACGAACGACGTCGCGTCGCTCACCTTCGTTGGCGTTCCTGCAGCGGTGGCAATTCCACATTCCCACGACGACAAGGTTCACTCGCTATACAGCAACAACAGCTACAGAGGCCTGCTGTCGATGTCTCGCAAACATGGTATGCACTTTACCGAACCCAGAGAGATGATGGGCTGAGCCGTGCGCTCCCAGCACTGGGCCACACTGCTATTTCGATCAAAGGTTCATAAGAAGAGAATGTTTAATGATTCATGGATTTTATGTTTGACTAATGAAAAAGCTGCGATGGTGGCACGCTGCTTAAATGGGGTGCAGCGGTGGTGCAGTGGTTAGCGCATTGCATTGCTACGAACCTGGCAACCTGAGTTCGAGTCCCGCTCGCGATTGATACCATTGGCGTAGGATATCGGAACTGGTCGTAAACATTCTCCTTGCCCCCCACCCCCAGGCTTCACCAACTCACACTGACCAGCGTGGGTGTGAAGTATGGTCAAACAATTCCCATCCCTTGGGGAGGCCTTCATCCAGCAGTGGATTAACGGCGTACAGGTGTTGTTGTCATTATTATATGATCCGCTCATAGTGCGATACGTGGCGTGGCAGTTTGCCCGGTGCATTGCGTAAATCCCATCAGAACGTGTACTTGTTTGCGCCGGGAAAGGTGCAACCCTACAGTTAGTCACTCATGCCACTGCTGACGGAGGGGCCTTCCCTCCCAGTGCGGGAGCTCAAGGCAGAGCTCCTCTGCCTCTGGAGGGTGAATTTGGCCTCCTCTTCCACGCTGGACAGACTTCTTGGGGGCACACTGCACTTTATCCCACCACACGAGACCCCCAAATCGATGAACTGTGGTGCCGCGACAGGAGGTAGAATTGAAGAGCGCTGGGTCGCGAGCCCACGGCAGCAGGTTTACATGAGCAAAGTTTGACGCGTTCGCGCATTCATTGAACCGTCTCATATTGCGTTGGCTCTTTAGCAATTCAAACAACCGGTACAACCTGCGGGGGTGGGGTGGGGGGGGAGGTGAGTGAACGTGTTTTGTCACAAGTTCCGATAATCAGGTTCATATATTTTCGACGACTTCGCCAAACTAATCATTTTGGCGGAATATAGCTAAACAACCCCCGTGATCAATACGCAGTGAGAGGAGGCGTTGTCCATCCAACAGTGCATTGACAAAGGGCTGTAAATGATGATGATGATCATCATCATTGTTACTTTCTAGACTACGGTTGAAAGCATCCACCTTGTTAGCTCTGTCCGTCTGTCACGGTAATCCTCGAGAGCGTGATCCCATATCGCCATTGATTTACTATGAAGCTTCGTCACCATTGGGGATCTGGTGCAGGGGATATTCTTTTTTTTATTGGCGTGGAGGGTCAAAATCGGGGAACCTGGAGAAATCCCACCGCGCATAACACTCGAGGGAAGCGCGCTCAGAGGGCTCCACAGACGGGTCAGAAATCCATTTGTTGCGCGCACACTCTGGAATTGTAAATGATTTTGCGTAAACTCTCTGTAGCTCAAACGTCAGGATTAGTCGTGTCACACGGTCACGGATACGGAGTGTAAATTATATATCACTCAACTACGAGTCCGTGAAGATTGTTTACTTCGTACGGTAGATAGTTTCACTAAATATTCACGTCAAAATCTGACGTGTGGAATAACCGACACGGCCCGCGCAACATATAGCATTGCGCAGATACAATATCAGAATTCGCCGCATTTCTTCACCACCCCCCCCCCAAAAAAAAAAACTACCCAGTAGAACAATGAACGATGCCTTCGTGAAAATCGTGTCCAGTGCTGGTAATTACTCGTGACCGACTCGGTGAAAGCATAGACGACTCACCGTCCATGCTGCTTGATGCCATTTCGTCTCACGCGCCCTGCTCTCTCCCAAGTCCAGCCGACTCCTTTCTCTTCCTCGACGCTGCGGGAGCCTTGCAGGAGGGGAGGGTGGGGTTGGAGTGCCTTCTTCACGTGGCGTCGTGATTATCCTGAGACCCCACGCGAAGCGACGGTGGGTCTTATATGTCCTCGGCGAAACTCCCCTCCTTCTCCCCAGCCCCGCAAGCGGGCCGGCCAAACCTCAGCTGTATCCATCACTAACCATCACCGAGACCAATCAAATCGGATCAAGAGCAGCAGCATCAGCCAACCGGAACGCGCCTCCAGTGGACGTGTGTCAGCCACAAACAAAGTCTGCTAAAAAAAACACGCTCCTCATCATAGCTGCCACAGCTTGTGGGGTGTTCACTCGCGGCACGTCGTGAGCAGACAGCGTTCCGTACCTTTTCTCCTGTCATCGTTACTATCATCATCATCATCCATCTTCAACATGAGGTCATCATCATTCAATCATCTTCAAGCCACCATCGTTCAACGATCACACTTTTTGAACGGTCATCAATGTCGTCATCCATGTTCATCATCCAGCCATCATCATCAATCTCCATCAAATCATCGGCATCGTTCAATATTAACAATTACATCATCAGCCTCCATCAATCATCACTACCATCGACATGTGTTGTTGTCAGCAGCAGTGTAATTTTAACAAAACGCTTTACAATTATCCACCCCCTCGCACCGCCCCCCCCCCCTCCTTTAATTATTTTCACGTGGTCTCGATTGTTCAAGTCATCGAACCGATCAATCTTACGGGGTAATCGATTTACATAAATAATTATCGGAGAACGCAAAAACATACTCTCTGGTTCTTTCAGTAAAGTCACGTAGGTAGAAAAATAATAGATCACGACGTTTCGATCGCAACCAGAAGCAATCGTCATCAGGTGGGACAACCACAGCAAATAAATAAATAAATAACTACCTCCGTGACTTTTAACGAAAGAACCAAAGAGTATGGATTCCTGCAGTCACGAAAGCTTCAGATCATGATTGAACGCAAAAACAGTCGGAAAGACGTCGTGGAATCTCCCTCGTGACCCACATGTCCTCTTCCCGAGATCCGCACATTCGCGTGAACGTCTATTAAACATAAAACCACCTTCGACTCGTTGGGGTGAGTTTGTGGCGCCCCAACTCAAATCTGGCTCGCACGGGTTGACTTGACACCAAGTGAGCTAGACATGCGTAGCGTTCTGTACGGTAACGTTGACAATTTTTACACGGTGTTTTTTTATTGTTTAGTAAACGTGTGAGAGAGAGAAAAACATGCGGTGCATCGGAACAGTGCCACAAAGGAGCTTTATAGCTCATAGGATTCCTCCAGTGTAAACAAATATTGCGATACGGATGTGTGGAGGAACGTTTGCCTGAACGATGACCATATAGGCCGTTCAAATACATTTGGCGGTCCACACTTTAACACAAAACAAAGACAATGATCATCTAAGTAGCCTCAATAGACTTGGGGGAATTACTGTGAGCGTTCACCTATTAAGGCTTGCATCGGACGCAGAGGTGCGTGGCAAATACCACGTCAGGCCGCTTTTGTCCCCTCGGTGCTGAAGTTTACACAACCCCACCTGCAGGTACTCATTTAATGCTGAGCCAACCCAAGGGAGGCCCGGGACTCGTTGAGATATTCGTCAGCGATATTGCCTGCGAGTGGGAATGAAACTCGGGTCACTGGATTCGCACTGCAGTGCGCTAACCACTGCACCCCCGCTCCCCCACACTTTCATTGAATCTGCGCACTGCTATGTTGGGAATCCAAGAAGGTTATTCCAGTTGTCAGACTTTAACACACAGCTTCGTCCCTTGTCGCACGACTGGAAGAGGGGCCCCTTGCAGCGACAGAAGTGATTGCGAGTGCGCTAAAATTAGAAAGGCAGACGGACAACGTTTTGATTTAAAGCTTTCGTGACTGCAGGGATTCATAGTCTTGGTTCTTTCGGTAAAGTCACGTAGAAGGGAAACAATAAAATAATAAAAATATGAAACAAGAAAATTATCACGACGTTTCGACTGCAACACAAGCAATCATCATCAGGTGTGAATTTTTTGTTGTTGTGGTTTTCACACCTGATGATGATTGTGTTGCAGTCGAAACGTCGTGATAATTTTATTGTTTAATATTTTTATTATTTTATTGTTTCCCTTCTACGTGACTTTACCGAAAGAACCAAGAATATGGACGACGTTTTGTTAAGAACTTTCAATATAGCGGCCAGGAAACCCATATTGAGTGCGTTAAAGACTCACGAACCCCCTCACCCCTCCCATACTCAATGGCTGAATGAATTCGGCCCAACCTCAGCACCGTAGCATCTGAGCTATAAGCTCAGAGACAATGAAGAAGAATACAGCACGTACATGGGGGTCCATTCTTAAACCTTTAAGCCGTCTTAAATATCTGAGTCCAGAACGGCAATGACATGGCCAACTCCCCAACCTCCCCCAAAGAAAATCCCTTCCTCGCCTCCCCCACCGCCTGCTCTGATGAGTCCGGCGTGCCTCCGATACCGTCGATGCCCCTGGTAATGGCATCCAGATCGTCAGGATGTGGCAGGGCGCCCTATGTACATCGGTTCCATAACAGTATTCGACTAATTGGACAACATGAAAATAGTTGGGGAGATAAACATCACAAGATAGGACGGTATTGTCACTAATAATAAAATACAGTCAACGATTATCCAATCGCTGGAGGTTTCATTGATTAGGTTGTGAGGTTTCCTCAGGTGTCGAATGCGACGCAAATGTAAGTTGCGTCACGTCCACTGTTTTCATGTAATATACAAAAAATTTAAAATGTTCGTGAAACCTGGTGGCCTAGATTAAGGTGAAAACAAGATTGTGGCATATAATGGATTACGTGATGGTCCCTACCAGAAATTACAATCTTAGACTATAATAGGTCAGCACAACAGATAATGCGGTGCATTTATCCAATCGTTGCCCATACTTCGAATGTATCTCGCTAAGCTGACTGACTTAACAGAGGCGATGTGAGCTCAGTTGCACGGCCACTTAGTAAGCTGCTAAAGCAAATGCGGGTGTCACTGATTTCTATAAGAAAAAAAGTCGGGGTTACCGAGTGTCAACCAGCTGCGTTTGGACAGGACCGGATCAGTGAGACACCCACCGAGTGACACTGATAAATTCAAGTGACTGCTTATCGTGCATCCGTAACGTATGTGGCTTTTGTTTTTCACAATCGTTGAATATTTTTTTGTCGAGATACGGCTAGTTTATTTTTGTATCATCTGTGCTGATGTGTTGTTGTTGATTGGGTTTATATACGTGTTAAGATAGAGTTGATTTTTTTTCTCAAATTACACGGTTTTTGCATACTCTTGTGTATTTTCAATGCCACAGTCAGTTGTATGGAACATGTCAGGTGGAATTTTTTTACTTTTTTCATTTAGAGCAGTCCAATGTAAACAAATTATTTGGCGATGCTTCTGACGTTGGCAATGGCTCACAGGCACAAACAACGAAAACCCTAACACATTCGTCAATGACACTGTGACCTCAAAAGGGAACGTATTTAATAGGTGACGTTTTGGGCAATGGCCTTTCTTTGTAGTACATTCGTGTGCTATATATATAGTTCCCTTTTAGGCAGTGTTATTGACGAATATGTTGAGTTTTGTTGTCTGTAGAACGTCTGGTTATTTAATGGACCTGACCCCATGGTTACCCTTGCAAAGCAGTATGTGATCTCGGTCACCTCTCACCTGGCTATTTTAATTCTTGTACATATGGTGTTCTTATTCGGGTCTTAACTGGGTCACTGATTGTGTCAATGTGTTTTTTTTACTAGTGTCCTGACATATGGTGATGCCCTGCTATAGGAATGCGTTGTCATAACTTGGCTCATTAAGGGTGTAGCGATTCAGTGAATTGTCACGATTCAGTGTTGCAGTTAGATGTACGTATATTTACTTTTATTTACATTTCCGTGAATGTCGCGGCCACTGGATGTTAGAAGGATCACGTGAACCAACTCCAGCACGTACAACATACACAAAATCGGAAAAAAAGCATCCATACTCACACCGCATAGCAATTCACGTGGCATGAGCTTAACAGCAATTACCGATCGATTCATTGACTCGTTCAGTAATTACACCTCCAACACTCATGAGCGGTCGCAAAATGACATGCGCGTGTGGCTATCGAAGGTCACTCTGCCCCCCTCCACCCGCCGAATTCATGCAAATGGACTGCTTGCCACATTCTTTGCTCCCTTCAATCGATATCTTTAAAGGGCTCTCTTGGCTTTCTGACATGACCCCCCCCCAGGGGTATTTTCCCTTAAGTTCTTGCCCGATGGCAGTTCTTTGGCTCAAACTCCTTCCAAACCTTATTGAGACATCCCCATTTCAGTGTGACGCCGCACCCTCCTTCCCAACATTCTTAACCCTCCCAAACTTTAATGTTTGCAATATTTTCAATTCCATACGTGGCACAGATGTTTTAGCTTTTGCTCTCATTTCTTGTTCGCTTAGCTTTTACCATTTTCTAAATGGGACTGATCTCTTGAGTTTTCACATGGTCAAAGAAAATATACCTGAACTTGAACCTATTGAGAATGTGCCCCGTGAACATATTTGTCTTTTCTTGATCGTTCTAATTAGCCGTCTAACTTGCCAGTACAACCTCTCCACGTTGCTACGCGCCTGCACAATACAGGCTTGTCTCGTGTACCGTGGGTCATTTGTATGCATGAAATCTCTTTGCTCTGCTGAATTAAGACGCTGAATTAATAAGACATCCACGTGGGGGCTCTTTGACCATACCTCACCACGCTGGTATGTGCAGTTTTTGTTGAAGGCGGCCAACACAGACGTGGGAGCATAGATGCACAGTGCAACAATGGAGCAACAGATGCTCTCCGCTGCCAACTCGTGTATACGTAGCTTCGTGCACGAAAGTTGCCCATTCAAGCATTGTCCAGGCTCAGCCCCTGCTTAGCTTTTCAGAGATCTGACGCTCCAGTAGCCTAACCTAGATATGAAATATATGTACGTTGAACTTATTTCGCCCCGTACGTAGCCAACCGCGCTTATCGTAGGACAACAACATTAAACACACACAAAAGCAGTTCTAAAGAAACGAGTTTTGGATCTAGATTGAAAAGTGCATAAGCTCCAGTGGCTTCTTAATATGGCAAGAGCGTTCCAGACGGCAAGAATACAAACTTTAGAAGTCTGAAGTATGGATTACCCGCTACCGAAGTCACTATCATGAATGTTTATTGTATACTTCTACACTAATGACATTTTTTCCAAATTATAAGACGCACTTCCCCCCACCTGTATTAAAAAAATTTAAAAATGTGGGATTCGTCGATATGGTCAGATTCTAACACGTTTTACTCAATTTTGATTTAAAGCTTTCGTGACTGCAGTAATTCATATTCTTAGTTTTTTCGGTAAAGTCACGTTGAAGGGAAACAACAAAATAATAAAATATATATATAAAACAATAAAAAATTTCTCACGACGTTTCGACCATAACTCAAACGGTCGTCTTCAGGTGTGTTGGTTTGCATAAATTTATTTTTAAACGTTAAATTTATGCAAACCAACACACCTGAAGACGACCGTTTGAGTTATGGTCGAAACGTCGTGAGAAATTTTAATTGTTTTATATATATTTTATTATTTTGTTGTTTCCCTTCAACGTGACTTTACCGAAAAAACTAAGAATACGTTTTACTCAGTTTGGTGCGTATTTATAGTCCGGTGCGTGTGCAGTACAACTTTATTCACGGGTCTTGCGTCTTATAATCCGGTGCGTGTGCAGTACAAGTTTATGCATGGGCTCTGCGTCTTATAATCCGGTGCGAGTGCAGCACAAGTTCATTCATGGGCCCTGCGTCTTATAATCCGGTGCGAGTGCAGCACAACTTTATTCATGGGCCCTGCGTCTTATAATCCGGTGCGTGTGCAGCACAACTTTATGCATGGGCCCTGCGTCTTATAATCCGGTGTGGTGCAGCACAACTTTATTCATGGGCCCTGTCTTATAATCCGTAACAAATACAAATGTGACTCAAATCACGTGACCTTGTTGCTAGGAGACCCGAGGGGCGAGACGGGGAGGGGGGGTGTCGCGAAAAGTCACGTGCCACCACGCGTTACATTCCCCAGTCTGTATAAGCCCCCCCCCCCGTCCACCGAAAACAACACACCCCGTGATCAACGCCCCGACCAATCAGCGACAACCCGAGTGAGAAGTCCCTCCCCCACCCCGCGCTTATCCGTGGCACCAATTCTAAACCCGACTTCGTCTCGGTTCTGTGTGGCCGCAGGGGTTGGTGGTGGCGAAGAACCGCTTGTTTCATTCTCTGAGAAGGAAATGTCCACGCTTTAAGGACGAGGATGGCGTCGGACAGTTGGTAAGGGAGTCGCCACCCTCCCCCGCTCCCTCCCGGGGCTCGCGAGGAAACTCGGCGAGACGAATTCTCGTGGCGACGTCGCTTTTAGTTTGCTCGGCTTGTATCGATTTAACAACAATAAAATTAACCGTTTGGAATCGATTCGCGTCTGGCACCACGCAGGAATCGATGTCGTGCCTTAGGCGCTTGGAATCGATTCCGATTGTGTTATACTGTACGTCGTTTGCATGTCGGCGTCAGATTATCGGGAGGCTAAGCGGGGTTCGAGGCTGGCTCGGTCCTCGTCATGGATAGCCACCGCGCATAGCTAAGTTGTTTATTGGCTTGCGGGGGCTTACGTTGCGAACAGCAGCGGGGGGTGGTAAGTAGTAGCAGAATTGTTGTACCGTACTTCTATGCCCACCACCACCCACGCGAAGTTCCAGTCACGAGTTGCGCGCGGCCTTCGCGAGTCGATGCGGAACAAGGAACGGGGAAACTTGAGGCCTAGAGCTCGAGTTAAAACGTCAACAAACAGAACAACATACGCTAAGTATGAAACACGTGATGCAAATAGAATGTCCTGAACAGGAAAGTAAACCCACGGTTGGGGGCGTTTTTGTTCAAAGTAAGTGCGCTAATAAATCATAACGCCGATATTAAAAGTACCACGTTACTAAACCACAGAAAGGTTAATGCCACGGTTATGGTTAATGCGCCCAGAACCCTTCTTCATTGTCCATGCAGGATCGATCCCCATCGGCAACTACTCTGTGGGAAGTAAACTCAGCCTTGGCCCTGTGGATAGACTGATTCTTCTTCTTTGGTTCTTTCGGTAAGGTCACGTAGAATGAGAATAAAATAACAATAAAATTATCACGACGTTTCGGCCACAACGCAAGCGGCCGTCTTCAGGTGAAAGGCACAGACCTGTCGGGACGACAGAGCTTCAATGAACGATGTTAAGATTCGTAGCGACTTTTAAGCTGGTTGGGAGAAGTGAGGCACCTTGACAAAGGGGTTTACATATCAAATAGCTGAGGGATTAGCTTGTGACTGGTCACAGGAATGGCTATGTTAAAGTCAAAACCTACACATCCACAGAGGCAACTAGTAATTTAGCATTGAAATAGCTAAGGGATTAGCTTGTGCAAATGGCTGAGGGATTAGCTTGTGACTGGTCACGGAAATGGCTATGTTAAAGTCAAAATCTACACATCCACAGAGGCAACTAGTAATTTAGCATTGAAATAGCTAAGGGATTAGCTTGTGACTGGTCACAGAAATAGACTGATTCTTGTCGTCGGAATGTGGAATTTACACCAATCGCCCACGGGCTCATTTCAAAATAGAGTTGACTTAAGTACAGTTCTGCTCGTGAGAGTATTTGTATGTATTACGTACCTGCAGGGAGATCTCTTCTCAATATTGTCAAAAGCGTTGGCTCCATTTCTGACGGGAGAGTGGACACATTGCCGACAAAGCCATTGCCACCAGAATTACAATTGCATACTACAGTACACCACTGTCACTTCTCGATATGGTATGCCTGTCAACCCATACGGTTTACCCGTATTCTTGTACGGGCAAATGTCGTTTTAGGTCCATGCGGTGTACAGCCGTTTCAATACGGGCAAAATAAGTCATGTTTAAAAAATACTTTTTTTTTAAAACGCGCTTTAATTAAATGTACCGTACGATTAATGACAGAACTCCACAACTCCCAAGAAGTGGCTCCGAAGCTTGCCATAACGTAAGGGACCGTGGTGATTTACTGCCAATGTGAGTTGAACGTGGACAATTAGACCCAAGCCGAAACATAACATATAAAAGATAGTTTAAAAATATATATTTTAGTTTTAATGATAGAATATAGTATTGTCATCAGTATGACATAAGTATGCGAAGTCTGCAATCGATACCACATTGGGAAGTGGGTTAAAATTCAGTTACAAGATTTGAAGATACGACAACAGACAGTTAAATAAAATCATGTAATAAAAAATGTCTTTGTATTTCTCCCTTGTGATGGGACTTTCTAGGATATGAACGGTTCGAGTTATAAGGTCACGGGGTAACCAATAAGGTCTGAATTGGTCTGTAACAAGGTAGGGCACCGATAAGGGATTGACAGGTATGACATGGTCTTGTTTTCTAGAGACTATTTGAAATAGTTGAGGCAAGCAACTGTTTACGCACCACGACTCACGTGTCACAAGAGTCCTTGAGCGGGTGATGCGTTCTTTTTTTGTAATAACATGGCCCCGTGATGTTTACTGTTTATCTGTTAAGAAAAAATATTCTAATCCAATTTGTTTTGTCATTGTAGCCTTGTTTGACGTCTCTTCTTTATACGTGCGTTGTTACTTTACGCATACATTATCTGGATGTACATACAAGTGATGCATTTCAATTCTCTGTTAGGTTGGCTCAGCATGAGGCCACGTGCCGTATGACCCAGGACATAGCGGAGAACATACAGGAGAGGAACCGGCAGCAGAGAACAGGAGGCAATCCTGCCAAGGTACATGTGCTAGCACCATACTGAACAAACTTTCCTTGACAATTCTATCCAGATTTTGTGATTGGTGTCAGAATGAAACGAATGTATACATTGGGATCAATCGCAGAACATTGCGAGAATTGTCCACGTCATTTGATGTCACAAATCCACCTCTTAAGATCTTTTTAAGAAACTTCTGGTTGACACAGCAGGGACAGCACTTTCCACTGCCCCATGATGGTAATTGTTGTCTCATCACCCATCAAACCGATATTTCAATTCTCAGAGCATTGGGAAAATCCAGTGAAGAACCAAATTTATTGTGATTGTTTTTTTTGTTGCGCAATTATTTGATAACGTGGCAGAGACCATCAACTCGCTACACATGAAAACCCAGTTTAATCACAGGCAGTGGCCTGGTGTTGAATCCAGGTTCTCAGCTGTGCCAGCACAGCACTCTAACAAGTATTTTAGATGTGGCTGGGTGGCTTAGAGGTCAAACTCCACGCAATTAAAGTTCCAAAAAAGCAATTTGCATACCCATCACAATTGTTATGCATGTGATTTCAAGTGTTAAATAAGGCCCAATGTATATTAACCCTGGGACGTGTTTGTCTTAAACATTTCGTTTTTCACTTAACATTAAAGGTCAACTTGTGTTTGTGGTGATTTATGGAAAATGTTGCTTTGTATTATGCCTTTAACAGAGTTTGGGGCAACAAGCTATTCCAGCCCATGTCACTGGATGATTATTGTGTAAATAGTATTCAGAAAGAAAAAAAACAAACGAATGTTTAGTGCATTGTATTTTTAGATATAGGTGAATGGGAGTGTTTTTGATTTATTTTTAAAGGCAAACTTCTGAATTTATTTAAATAATTTGCAAGGCTTACTTTTTATCATATATTAAAAGTCACTCGGTGAAATATTGTCTCATCTGTATGCTTTCATATCGAGTTTAAGCCCAGTCTCATAACTTGAGCGTTATCTTCCTGTCCCTTTTGCTGAGGAAATTACGTACGTATCAATGTTATCTTTATGGTGCGTGGTATGCTTTCGGTTTCCAGAGCTTAAGTGCAATGTTGGCAAATGCTGTACAATACGGTATGACTTGCTTTTATATTGCGTGTAGATTAAACTGCACCTTGATGCAAGTGTAGCCTCTATTTGACGCCTTGCTATGCTCATAACTTGTGTTGATTTTCTTTCTAACGTTTGGCAGGTTAGTGTGACCATCCGATTGTCCCTGCAAAACTTGAATCGAGACATCGGGCGCCTGAGAGACGGTCTGCTTCGAGCCTCATCGTCAAACTTCATGTACGCCATCCGCTGAGTGTCTGTTGTTGGTCTGAACCCGAAACAATGGAAGTCACATGCTCACAAAACCACAGCAAGATGTCTTCTTATCGTTAAAAAATACTCAACTGCATACGGATAGAGAACCTTGACTGATATCTCGTTTAAGAATTGGAGAACTATACATGGATATATAAAAAAATCACTGTTGTTTGTCTTGCATGAAGTACCTTGTTATTGCAATGTAATGGTCTAAAAGAGAAGATAAAGCCCCACCGTTTAGTACAAAACATTTTGTGATACAACGCCTCAACTGGCTGAGACCAACTTGTGTTTGATATCTGCCAAACACTGACTCGTATGACTTTGTGATTGCAAAGCGTGCAATTTAGATTATTTTTTCGTACACCAGGGAGTGCTCACGTGCACTGCTAGAGAATGCAATTGTTACATCTTTATACTGTCTATGAAAGAGATGACCACTATAGAGAGGGGGTACTGGCACCGTTGGTGCTGCAACTTCCTAAATAACTAATCAAGCAATTTGCTGCATTGTTGCAATTATAATTACAGCTTGTGTTTAAAGAGCGTCTAATGCAGTCAGTCGCACATCAGAATGCGTTACAACAAAAGACATTGACCTGCATAATAAGGGGAACGGGAATATATTTGTTTATGGGGTGGAGGAGGCAATCGGGGGGTGGGGTAAGGCCAGATAAGGAAGCTGATGGCATTTTAAGGTGTATTTGAATGTATTTCTCGAGGACAAAGTCATAGACATAGAAGAGAATGAGCGTCGAATTTAATGTTTCTCCTTTGTATGGCATTTGAAAAAAAAACGGACCATGTTTATAACTTTTTGTGTAGAGTTTGGAGAAGGCATTCTATGGTGTCTGGCTGGGGCCACCAGATGGATTCCATTTGTACCTCCTGCAACAGCATGTGTGTGGCAATGATTGGTGATGTGAGTGAACGATTGGACTTCACCACAGTCACATTTAGGCAATACCTTAGTTCCCTACTTAGGGATGAGACTCGAATCGAAGCCCATAAACTTAAATAGAGACTCCTAGAGATCCCCATCCTGACATAGACCTACTACACAATGTGATGTGAGTAATGGATCGGACTTCATCGCAGTCACAATTAGCAAACTCCTTGAATTTCCATTTATAGAGGAGGTGTTCGCTCCTCTCATGTACATCACTTAACACGGTTAGCTGCAGTCGAGTGTCTTTGAAATGAGAATAAGCTAGGCAGTTGTTTAATTTGATCTTCAATAAGTGACTTGTTAGGGGAATTACAGGCTGACAACGCTTCTCGCCGTCAGTGACATAAAAACACACGTCCCTCAACATTGCGGCCACAAACACATGGCCTCCGCCTCCTCTTCCCAGATAACAAAAGCATCATGGCATAGGTACAGATATATTTCCTAGACTTTATAGGCAGCTGGGTGTTGCCAATTTTACATCTCGACATGTATCGATTCTGCGCTTGAACTGGATAAAAGAGTCGGGCCTAGATATGATGTCAGGGCGAGGGTTTAGATTTGTCCTGTGTTGAATAATTGTCATATTCCATTAATTTTTTTTTACATTGGAATAAATTGGTGTGTATAGAGGCGCTCCCTGCTTGTGATAGCTCGCGCTGAAACGCAACGTTTCATCTCATTTCTTTTCACTGGGCTGATTCCAGGAAAATGTGATGTCAGGACTTGAATGACATGCGATGGTGAGGTTACGCTTGTTTAATAAACAGAAATAAACTGTCTACAAACAGAGCAGTATTTTTCCAGTGTAATAGTTTATTTAGGTGTCATTTTTGAAGTGCGTTGGTTTGAGCCGGTTAGCAGACGTTTAATCCTGTGCACACTGTTTGGCTATAGCATGCTTGGGGTATTTTTTTGTTCTCTCATGTTCTTGCCTATGTGATATATGTTTAAGTGGTCTAGGTGAGAGAAATAGGGACAATAATAAAACACATGTAGATGCATTTAGTTAATACACTACTGGATGAGGGTCTCCACACGCAATATGGGTCATGGGGGGTGTTTGACCACACTTCGGCACACTGCCCAGTGCATGTTTGGTGTAGGTGGGGAGCATATATGCGAGACCATCGAAGTACAGTTAAACATTGCATTTGCTGCACTACCCTCTGCTGCTCATCGCATAGCCATTTAAAAAAAATAATCCCTGCCATTTGTGTTTCCTTGAGACTATATTTAAGCGTTTGTTTTTTTCCTGTGTTATAATGACACTCATTGTTCTTTTGTGGCATCTGAGAAAGTGCCAGTAATTTAGACGTGTTCATTCGTAGGTGTCGAATTTTCCCAATTGAATTCATTGTTGTCATCGTCAACAGCACCCAGCGCGAGGCTGAGCGCAGGCAAAGCTTATTGGACGAACTCGAGACCAAGGATCGGCAGCTGCAGACCATGTTCAGTGGCAACGGAGGAGGCACCACCGACTCTGCCAGGTACCGGCTCAAGTGCAACAAAGGGAAATTTCACTAGAGCGGGGGGACTATTAGTCAATTAGGTCGATTAATAGTTCAGCAGTGCCGTGTGGCTCATAGCCCACCAGTTGAAGTTTGGCGTATGGCAGTGTTCTTCACTAATTTTCAGAGGAGGGGGGAGCACTTTCGCCGATAGGACATCATCAGTGTGAGGGCCGCAACACATTGGAAATCATTGGGGTTTGGGTTTGACAGCACGATGTTGAGGGTCTTTTTTAGTTTAACACGTAGGCTTTCGCGACCAATATCATCCATAATAGAGGTTGTTGGGTTAGATCGCGTAACTCTATAAATGTGTCGTTAAAACCCGCCGCCACCCAACACAGCCAACTAGTAAAGGTTGTCACGTAAACAGAACATGCCAATTCGTCACGAGTACAGCACACCGGTGTGCTGGGGAGCCAAGCCACAACATTATCAAACCGAGTACGACGTTTCGCCAGTATTTACAACTTGCTTCTTCAGGCGACAGCCAGATTTGTGGAGAAGTCTATCTGTTTCGTTCCTTGTCTAGAGGCGTAGATGTGTTGACCACCCTTCTGCGCTCTTGCACAATGTGTGGGGGGGGGGGGATTACTGATGTAACGTACATTATGTATGTGCATTATGTGAGCCCTTTGAACTTGTCCTTCCTGTCTATTGTGTTTATTAAAATAGCCCCACCAACGGTAATCCCTTTTGAAGTACGCTGCCCTTTGTAGGCATGCATTTAAATAATGTATTATTTGATGATTCGCTTCCACGCAGCACTAAGACGGTAGCTATCCGAACGGTTAAAATTATATTCTTAGCTCTTTCGGTAAAGTCACGTTGAAGGGAAAAAATAAAATAATAAAATATATAACATTATTTCGGTTTCTTTCAATTTCGATAGATTCTCGAATTGGTCATGGCCAGTCGTAGCTAGTTTTGCACGAAACTTCAACATTATCCAAATAAATTGAGTGTCCTTGATGGCACGCGTGTTCTACTACTACCGACAGTTGCATTTGGGAGAATTTAATATAACATACAAGTCCACATTTAATTACATTCACTCACACAGAGACTCGGACTCGCATGGAGACAAATGACTGACTTTGCCTAGAAAATACATTTCCCTACGTTTTTCCTGTACAGCGTGTTGATGAGATCGCTATCAGAAGCTACGTAAATCAACATCGTATTGCATTGAATAGCAAGACAACACCCGTTTAACACGTAGGCTTTCGCGACCAATATCCGTAATAGAGGTTTTTGGGTTGGTTGTAATTACTGGCGAAACATCGTACTCGGTTTGTAAATGTTGTGGCTTGGCTCTCCAACACACCGGTGTGCTGTTCTAGTGACGAATTGGCATGTTCTGATAACGTGACAACCCTTACTAGTTGGCTGTGTCGGGTGGTGGTGGTTTTTAACGACACATTTATATATTTATGCGATCTAACCCAAGAACCTCTATTACGGATCTATTTACATTTGTGTATTGTTGGAAGCAGCACGTCAGGGACTGCACTAAAGGCCACCAGGGGCCGCCAGTGGCCCGAGGGCTTTGCAATGAAAATACTGGTGTGTGGCATAGTTGGTAGAGCATGCCTCCTTGTGGACAGTCCTCCACTCGCCAGTTACAGGCAGCACGAATGTAAATCAAACATTTGTTCATACTGGCAGCGGTGATGGAGGAATAAATATTGGAGGGGATAGGAGCTTGGTGAGAATTTGGGGAGGGAGATGGTATTATGTTGAAAACCGTATGATTTCTTAATCTATAGGTTGGCTGCTAAATGGTCGTACATGAACCAGTTTAGCCTCAAATTTTCCAATTCATTGTGATCTATTAACTTATATATGACCAGACACCATCCCTGTTAGTGTTTTTATGATATATCGGAGCAAAGAGTACATTGCTAATTTGGTTGCATTCGCAAATTAGCCTGATTAAGTTCGTTTCATCACCATTTTTGCCTGTGTGGGTGCTCCCCAGGATGGGGCTCTTGGGTGGTGGTGCCACTGGAGCCAGCTCCTGGCTGGAGGAGGAGCCAGAGGACACTAGGGGGCGCAGCTTTGCCGATCTGCGACAGCAACAGAAAAGCATCATCCAGGGTAAAGCAGTGTCACCCAATCAGTAACAACAGCAAGTCTGATGTTTAAAATTCTGTGCTTGCTCTGCTAACCCAGATTGTGCGTGGAACAGAGCAGGATGCTGGGCTGGAGGTGCTTTCTTCCATCATAGCGAGGCAAAAGCAGATGGGCCATGCCATTGGAAATGAGCTGGAAACACAGAATGGTAAGTATTCAGTCTTTTTTTGTATTAGTTGTATTTTTTGTTATTTTGCAAATGTGTCATGATTTTATTGCTACAGCTGCATGGTGATTTGTGCAGGAGAATTAGCAAACCTTCACCATCTACTTAAAATTACGCGTTTCGCTGGAGCAGATCCATTGTGTCCAAGTGTAGTTACTGAAAATGTATAAACCTGGATGTTATAATTAGGCAAGAATAATACATTTTTGTTTGTTTGGGAGTGAGCATCCCTGTTAATGAGACTTATCGTAAAGTCATGTAAATGTTATGTTTGCTTAAACATGTGGCACTTTTCTGGTACAAAAATAACCGGAACACCACCACATCATATTACACCCGTCTTGGCCTCCCTGCACTGGCTTCCAGTTTCACATAGAATACAGTTTACAATCCTATTGTTACCTTACAAAGCAGTGAACCATCTTGCCCCAGCCTACATCAGTGACATGCTGCACCCATATATCGCCTAAGATCTGGGAATGCAGATAGCTGCATTCCCAGGTCGAGGCTTCGGTCTATGGGTGACCGAGCTTTTTCCCGTGTAGCCCCCAGGCTATGGAATGCTCTTCCACGAGATATCAGGATCTCTGAATCTGTGGACATTTTGAAAATGCGCTTTAAAACCTATTTATACGCTTCCGCTTATTAAACGCTTAGTTCATTTAGTAAATAATTTTAATATGTATTTATAATATTGTTTTTATGCTGAGTGTCTGCTGCTGCTGTGTCCTGTACAGCGCTTTAAGATCCTTGATGAAAAGAGCTGCATTATGTAATTAGTCATTATTATTCAAGAAAGACACGTGTTGTTAATTGAAATGGCTTTAAAATATCGAGCTGTCCTCTGTGCTGCAGAGATCATCGACGATTTGACCAACCTGGTGGAAGATACTGATGGGCGGATTCGTAGAACCACCAAAAGCGTCTCTGTTGTGCAAACAAAGTCGGCAAACTGCGGTAAGAGCCAACAAGAGATAATTGCACGCGGTGACCAACATCGTCAATTTACTAGCAGCCTTGTACATCTGCAGTAAAAACTACGGACAAAAAGTATTTTTTTATTTTATCAGGTAAGGCCCACTGGACTATATACCTCTTTTTCAGAAGTGACCTGGCCATAAATGATAGCTCAACGAAGTGGCTTATCACGTGGAAATTATTTAGCAGCCAATTACTCTTTAAACGCATGTTTCTAAATGTGGAGGGAAAAACCGGAGGACCTGGAGGAAAATCCACGTGACCACGGGGAGAACATGCAAACTACAAATGTACAGGGGTCGGGATCTAATCCACGACCTCCTGTATACCAGGCAATATAGTTAACATATTGGCACCGTTTTGCCTTAGAGCTGGGCTGTCCAATTATTCTAATAACATATTACTCTACCGATTATTGTTTCGATTACTCAATTGGACAACGACAATATAGTTGGGAAATAAATGTCTTCCCACTTGCTGCTCGATGGGAGGTGTTAGGCGGGGCTTGGTGACGTCATTGACATAATCAGCACGTCACATTTGATGTGATTTGGAGAGGGTTTCCAGCCTTTGAGACACAGGATATTGGTCGGGGTGGTGGACATTTTTAAAGGGGTCTGAGTAATCGGTTTCAAAAAAAGTTATCGATTATAGTATTTTGTCAATTAATCGACTCATCTTTCCAGCCCTAAAATACCCTAGTCTGTGCTGTCACCATAGCTGTCCTGCCCCAGGGGCATGACAGGAGTGCAACTACCAATATGTGTGTGTGGTTGACTGTGTAGCTCTGGACACACATGCAGGTGGTCATTGTGCCTTTGTGTTGCCTGGACTTACATGCTGGTGCTGACATTGACCTTGTGCGGTTGACTTTGTGTTTGTCACTGGACAGGTATGCTGGTGGTCATCGTGCTGCTACTCATTGCCATCATAGTAGTGGCGGTGTGGCCCAAATGAGGCCACCGGACGAAGTCAGGAGGATCGTTAGCATCTCGCTGTAGGGCTTCATGCACTTAAGAATGGCCGGGTTTGTCTGGCTGATCGGAAGATGAGTTGGGCATTGGATCAGATGATGAAGGGCTACACATTCCACGGTTATCTGTTAAGAGCATTCGCTACACGTGGACACATGACACATTCATGATTGTGTTCGCAAAGTGCATTTTGCGTGCGTGAAAAAAAATCCTCAAAACTTGTACATGACAGAGTGCACACGCATTCAATAGCACCCAGACAATTGTACAGTTAGCACGATTATCCCATCGGTAGGTTATGGATTAACCGCGCTTGTGAATAAATGAATGAAATGTTTCTCGTGCCCGCTGGTTTATTTGCTCGCTGCTCCTCAATCGTAACTCGGTGCCCCCCCAAATTTGTTGGCAAGTAAATCGATCACCTTAAACAATGAAAAGCAGAAAACACATTTTACACCTTTGCCCACCATTCGTGAGAATTTTATTGTGTTATTTTATTCTCATTCTACCGGACCTTACCGAAAGAACCAAAGAAGAACCGAAAAAACCAAAGAAGACAATAAATACACGTTTGGCATAACTTAGGTATGTTTTGTAGCATGTTTTTTTTGTATCTGGCCCACCCCTACATCCACATGACTTCAGACAGAGAGTTGGCCATGCACACAGTGCATCTACAACAGACTATGTATTCAACAAGATATTTAAAGTAAATACCACTTTAACTTAGAGCAGATGGATAATGGAAATGTGTGAAAGAAAGTGATTTGTATTTCCTTTTCAAGTATTTCAGATTCAATTTAACGTGTACATTTTTTTGCATCGATATTGGTGATAATTATCTGCACTCAATATCGCAGGTATTCAGTACAATGTATTTCACTGCACGTGGCTCATCAGCTGTGGTTGTTAAAACCAATGCGCGCAAGCCCTAAACAGCAGTAGTGTGACAAGACATCGAGCTACGGAAATAGTACGAAATTTCATTTGCTTAATTTTTGTACAATTATATGCAAAAAGTGATTATTGCTAAGAGACATTTTCATTCCCAACTCCACAGAAGAGCCCCAGACGATGTCACATAACTCCTTCTGAATCACTTCACTAGGTCTCTTAATGCTCTGCAAATAATGTTCATGATATGTGAAAACTTGTGTTTTACCTTTCAGAGCTGTAATATGATATGACAGTTGTGCAGTTAGTTATCGGTGACTGAGCTGAGGCAATATACTATTTATAAAAAAGTGTATTCATGGGTGGTCGCTTTAATTCAAACCCAGTGCTTCTACTGTGCTGTTAGTCCACCTGAGCATGCACAACATGTTCCTAGATAATAGTCACCACATAGATGTGTACACATTATATACGCCACCCATTGCAACGCACAAGGAAAATAGGTTACATTTTGTGTACATGCTTCCGAGCCGTGTACCAGTGATTGTGTGTAGCATGTGCACAAGCTGCACATGCTGCAAAGAATTCGCATCTTACCGGCAAGATAAAGCGTCGGTGTGTTCGCTGTTTTCTGAATGTCTGATTTATATGTGGTGAAACTGAAAAATCTGACTTCCAATGTGTTTGTACATACAGTAAGGGAAAAAAAGTATTTGATCCCCTGCTGATTTTGTACGTTTGCCCACTGACAAAGAAATGATCATTCTATAATTTTAATGGTAGGTTTATTTGAACAGTGAGAGACAGAATATCAACAACAAAATCCAGAAAAAGCATGTCAAAAATGTCATAAATTGATTTGCATTTTAATGAAGGAAATAAGTATTTGACCCCTCTGCAAAACATGACTTAGTACTTAGTGGCAAAACCCTTGTTGGCAATCACAGAGGTCAGACGTTTCTTGTAGTTGGCCACCAGGTTTGCACACATCTCAGGAGGGATTTTGTCCCATTCCTTTTTGCAGATCTCCAAGTCATTAAGGTTTCGAGGCTGACGTTTGGCAACTCGAACCTTCAGCTCCCTCCACAGATGTTCTATGGGATTAAGGTCTGGAGACTGGCTAGGCCACTCCAGGACCTTAATGTGCTTCTTGAGCCACTCCTTTGTTGCCTTGGCCGTGTGTTTTGGGTCATTGTCATGCTGGAATACCCATCCACGACCCATTTTCAATGCCCTGGCTGAGGGAAGGAGGTTCTCACCAAAGATTTGACGGTACATGGCCCCATCCATCGTCCCTTTGATGCGGTGAAGTTGTCCTGTCCCATTAGCAGAAAAACACCCCAGAGCATAATGTTTCCACCTCCATGTTTGACGGTGGGGATGGTGTTCTTGGGGTCATAGGCAGCATTCCTCCTCCAAACACGGCGAGTTGAGTTGATGCCAAAGAGCTCCATTTTGGTTTTATCCGACCAACAACACTTTCACCCAGTTGTCCTCTGAGTCATTCAGATGTTCACTGGCAAACTTCAGACGGGCATGTATATGTGCTTTCATGAGCAGGGGGACCTTGCGGGTGCTGCAGGATTTCAGTCCTTCACGGCGTAGTGTATTACCAATTGTTTTCTTGGTGACTATGGTCCCAGCTGCCTTGAGATCATTGACAAGATCCTCCCGTGTACTTCTGGTCTGATTCCTCACCGTTCTCATGATCATTGCAACTCCACGAGGTGAGATCTTGCATGGAGCCCCAGGCCGAGGGAGATTGACAGTTCTTTTGTGTTTCTTCCATTTGCGAATAATCGCAAAAACTGTTGTCACCTTCTCACCAAGCTGCTTGGCAATGGTATTGTAGCCCATTCCAGCCTTGTGTAGGTCTACATTCTTGTCCCTGACATCCTTGGAGAGCTATTTGGTCTTGGCCATGGAGAGTTTGGAATCTGATTGATTGCTTCTGTGGACATGTGTCTTTTATACAGGTTAACAAGCTGAGATTAGGAGCACTCCCTTTAAGAGTGTGCTCCTAATCTCAGCTCGTTACCTGTATAAAAGACACCTGGGAGCCAGAAATCTTTCTGATTGAGAGGGGGTCAAATACGTATTTCCCTCATTAAAATGCAAATCAAGTTATAACATTTTTGACATGCATTTTTCTGGATGTTTTTGTTGTTATTCTGTCTCTCATTGTTCAAATAAACCTACCATTAAAATTATAGACTGATCATTTCTTTGTCAGTGGGCAAACGTACAAAATCAGGAGGGGATCAAATACTTTTTTCCCTCACTGTAGCTGGCCCACAGAATGTAGCTCATTGCTTCCTATAGGGCTCCCATCTCGTTCAAAATAAAGGAATTGTGGAAGAGGGCGTCGTTGTCATGAAATGTTTTGAAAATGATGGTTTTCAGAGCTTCCTTGAATTGTGATTTTTCAGTTTATATTTTGATGTACTGTAGTGTATGTAGACAGGTCTGGATATAACCAATTCAGCTTCTTGGGTCATGCACCATATTCTTCGGATTATAAGAAACTTTTTTTTACACCCCTGTATTTTAAAGTAAAAGTTGGTGCGCAAATTATCCGGTAGGTGCGTGTGACCAGATTTGTAACTTGATTGACACTGGGCACAAGTTTCGAGTTTGACCTTTTCCGGTGCATCGTGGACAATGTCGGTGTTCAGTCGTTTTTAACGAACCAATACGATACATGATGGCTTCAGGATTAGAATTCGAATCTGTGAATTGTTGATGCGCTCAACATGTACAAAACCAGAGCCCACTATGGCCCTCAGTAGATCAGCCATCACTCGCAGATTGTTAACGTGGTCACTTGATTATTTACTGTGAAATGAGGCTAAAGAAGCACATGTCATTTGCAAAATCAAAGGACGTGTATTATATACACATCAATGCAAGTCAAGTGTAGTTGAAAACCACATGTGCAGAACGCACAACTTTTTCACGTGTATCTTCGCTTCGCAAAGGTTTCTCTCCTACGATACGGCTCGGCAGCTCGGTTCACTGCATCCAGAACCCAGCAAGACACGGTACATTTGTTATAATCCTGTGATCGGCAGCGTAAGCGGGCATGGGCTGGCATCATTGATCACAGCTGTTTAAATGTTATGCGACAGCTTAACGGTATAATGTCACGAGTGGTGGCACACACCAGTGATCATGGCTATGGCAGCAAGGGATGGTGGGTCACAGATTTGTGAATCTTCCCAACCCCGCCTGCTGCGAGGTATTCGGGATATTGGTCGTTAGTTCGTTAACCCCAAATGTACGGAATTTCCATTTTGATGCCATCATGCGTGATCTCTTTCCACAAAAAATATATTTGACAACCCATCGGCCTTTTTGGATTGCAGATTTTTTTTTTTGCAGGATCTGAATCGGCACGAGCAAACTGGACAGTTTTCGACATACTGTGTCTAATCGGCAGAGTCGGGCTTGCTTGAATCAATGATGAAGTTCTCGATGTTAAAGGCAAGCACCCGTTCGAAACGAAGAGGCGAGATAGGTGTTCGTGGCATTGGTCAGTAGGCATGGTGTCACTTGAGAGGGGCGGGACATCATTGAGGGGAGGGGCCACAGGTGGGAAGGAGGCGTGGCATGGGTGAGTGATCTGGGCATGAGTAAGTGAGTTGGGCATGAGTAAGTGAGCTGGGCATAGGTAAGTGGACGTGGCATAGGTGAGTGAACTGGGCATGAGTAAATGAGCTGGGCATGAGTAAATGAGCTGGGCATGGGTAAGTGGACGTGGCATAGGTGAGTGAACTGGGCATGAGTAAGTGAGTTGGGCATGAGTAAGTGAGCTGGGCCTGAGTAAGTGAGCTGGGCATAGGTAAGTGGGCGTGTCATAGGTAAGTTAGCTGGGCATAGGTTGGTGGACCTTGCATAGGTGGATGAAGCTGGGCATGGGTAAATGAGCGTGCAATATGTGAGTGAGCTGGTCATCGGTTAGCAGCAGAATAGTGTGCGAGAGGAGGGGGCGGGAGAAGGGCACAGGCGAGTTGGGAGAGCAACGGCGAAGAGCGCAAGGGATGGGGTGACGTTCAGGTCGTCAAATCGGGGGGAACAATGGGAAAGGAGGAGCCTGTGGGCAACAATGGAAAGGGGAGGGGCGCAGGTGGCAGTGGTCCGGGTAGAACAGGTGGATGGTCGTGGGCGGACTCGCATATTTGGTGGAGGAAGAGGTGGAGGAGAAGCAGTCGTGTTGACATTCGTTGCAACAGGTGTCGTTTACGCAAGCGAGAGACATTAGATTCGGGACAAGTTCTGCTCTAGAAAATCAGTCGCCGCACGTGACAAATGGCATAGAGACGTCAGTGTGAGCAGGAAGCGTCTTCATCTCGGTGCGAGCCCATCGAGACTCATCAACATCCGTGAGCGAGGATCTGAGATAGCCATCGGAAGAGAAGGCACGCCGATGGAGGGAATTCAGAG